TGTGCTTAAAAAGCTATTGAGTAATGAAGAAAACCCCACTATCCCAGTGTATTGCATGTCTAATGGTGCCATATTGAAAAAAAATCTAAAAGATTTTGTTAACACAGCTTTATCAGTGAAAAGACCAGGGGCACTTGGTACTTAGAATAGAATAGGTGGACCTTCCAATGAAAGACAGTCCCCCTTCCCCCCACGGACAGACAATGTTTTCACTGCCTATTTATACAAATATTAATAGAAAAGGTTAAATCATTACAACTTTTTATTAAGTATAGTCAGAGGGAGAACTTTTCCAAAATAACCACAGTATGTAACCGAATGAAAGACTTTGATGCTTAAAATGTTTATGAAGATAGTGGAATACTGGTGTGTATTTTTTATTTAAACTATCAATACCAGCCATATACAATTTACATAATATGTTTATGTTCCTAAGTTAATATCGGTTATGACCTACAGAAACATTATGCTCCTCTTCTTTTTATGCTCAGCTTCCAAAATTTCTCTTTAGTTGTAAAATTCCACATTAATATTCAATATTAAGCAGATTTAAACATGCACAGTAAAGAGATTAAATGATTAAATCATTTCACTAACAACCAATGCACAATGAGTGCCACTGTCGGTCATTTTGGCCAGCCAATCACATACAGCGGTAGAACGTGGTGAACTGTAGATAATTTTGTGCTGTACGGAGTTGTACTGTACATTTTGAATGGCTGCATCTGTAGTTTCAGTGGTCTTTTAATACCACTTAGTTATTCTCGATTATAATATATATTATAATATATATAGTATTCACATTCATGTTTTTAACATAATTTAACACCGGACACGTTGTAATATTAAAAATAATAAAGTCAATATAGTGTAATAATATTTATTATTTTAGATTTAAAAAGGAGTCTTTGTTTGTTAGAAGAAAAACTAGTGCCCTAAACAGGAATTGAACCCAGACCTCTGAAATCCTAGAGGCATTCATCAAACCCACTTCACCAACGTACAGCATGGATGTATAACTGAAATGAACAGGTCAAAATGTTTCCAAAGTAATCACAAGTGAATGACTCAAAGAAACTGTTTACAAAAAGTTAACAAAAAAGGTGGAATCCAGTCATACTATCAGCTATGTAAAAACATTATATTTAGATCCTAAAATTAATATAGTTATTAATTTCTTTAATCACGGGATTCCATATTCCCTATTAAGCAGATTCTAAAAAGTATGTCTTTTTACTGAACGACGACAAGTATGGTCAATTTAAAATAGAACGAGCACGTCCAAACTTTCCAAAATAAATACAGTAAGTTATCGAATTAAATACTTTGATGCATAATTTTGTTATGAAAAAGGTTGAATACTGTGTATTTTGTTTATTTTAGGTACCACTACCAGCCATGTACAGTATGTATAATATATTTCTATTCCTAAATTAATATTATTTATGCTCCTGTTATTTTTATGCTCAGGTACCAACAGTTCCCTGTAAAATTCCATATTAATATTCCATATTAAGCAGACTTAAACATGCATGGTAGAGAGATTAAATAAAGCAGTCATTTCACTAACATCTAATGCACCACAAGTGCTTTTATTGATTATCTTTCGCCAGTTAATCATATGCCGCGGTAAATCACAACCCCTGTAGTGTGTTACTGGGTTTAAAAGCACATTCTGGATGGTTACATTGTAGAACAACCAAACTTAAACGTTGCCCGGAAAGGTACAACAAATCTACTCCATTACGTTCTGTGCTTAGTCTTTCCCTAAAAATATAACAATGTTACAAAAAAAAGCATGTAAATAAAAATAACCCTTTCAGTCAGTGTAAACTTTTCCTGCAGTGAAATTATCTTAAATCAGTGTTGACATAGCACTAACTACAGTAACTTGACCTCTAAAAAATGTTCAATTCCAAAAGGAAACCGAACAACCTTCCCTTTTCAAACGGATTAACCTGATTTGACTGAATTGAACACATACATTGCAGTGAAGTAACTTAATTGAAATGTGTTACCCAAGTTCTCAGCAGTAAGAGGTTCAAGGAACTCTCTATCCATGTAGTCTTCTGTAAACTACCATGTTGAACAAGCGTTCGCCAGTCTGTGCCTTCATCTGCAGGATGGTGGGATAATGCTAACTTTACTCCATCCTGGACTGTTTTATCTCTCTCTTACATGGGGAGAATGCCATCCTATCCTTGTACAGCATCAGTGACAGATTGGGAAAAATTGTGATTCCAAGATCCTGTACCAAAGGTCTTTTTCAGCATGGGAAGCAGAAAAGATTTGGACTGTGTCTTGGAACTGGAACAGCTTGATCATGAAAGCCCTTGGCTTTGCCTTGTCATTTGATTTAGAGCTAAGTAGTAGACTCTCTCAGATTCTGAGATGGTGGTAAGCTAAGAATCTTAGGCAGCCATCTTTACAGAAAAGCAATAGCATTTTAATTCAGTTCCTGATGAAGGTAAAATATTACTCTTTTTTGCTTAGTTGGACAGGATTCCAGATGGGTCACTCTCTGCACTATGATTTGTTGCTCTCAGAGTAATGTCTCTATTAGTAGCCGACTTTGTTCAGCCGTGGAGATAGCATCTTGGATCTTGGAAATGGCCAGCTACATTTCAGTTAGAAACCATGAAAACACAGTTTCTTCCCAAAATCTGCACACAGTGATTTAAAGTTGTCCCCTTTCTATGCTGGAGCTGTTTTGGGACCTACAAATGCAGCCATTCAAAACAAGCGGGGTACACTGCGGTATAACGCGGTGGGCGTGTTGCATCAAAACGCTGTATAACGCATCACTTCCCTTCATACTGCAAATTACCGTATGCAAATTAGATTATGTTAATAGTATCCGGAATCACCTTGTAAAACCGTCAGGACGAGCTAATAAATTGTAACCTCTCATGTACAGAATTTGAGCTGTCACCAGAAAACGCCAGTTTCGAATCCTGAACACTGCTGAGGGACAATCTTTATTCAACTAAGAATTTAAGTTGTATACTCTTTAGACTTTTAAATTTAAACTGTGTATTACAGCATGTTAATCATCATTCATTAAAAAGTTGGTATATTTTATGAAAGCAAGATTGTTCAGTTGGGTAAAAGTACACAACCTACCTTTATCATATACCTAATATTTTAATAGAAATATTTTATGCATCAAAGTCTTTATCGAAGATATTACTAATAGTATTAATAATGAATGACCTTGGACAAGCTGTAAACTTAAAGTAATGCCCTGGTCCACATTCTTTGTAACCGTCTTTGTAAACGAAAATACTATTTTTTCATTGACAAAAAGTAACACCACAGCTTTTCATTGATCTGATTACATATTTGTTTCCATTCATACAAAGTAAGTTTTGAGAATCTCCGATTCACCATGCCTTTCACATGCTCATAAATGATATTAATTTAGGAACATAAACATATCATGTAAACTGTATATGGCTGGTATTGGTATTTTAAAGAAAAAATACACACCAGTATTCCACTTTCTCCCTAAACATTTTAAGCATCAAAGTCTTACATGTGGTTATTCTGGAAACGTTTTTACGTGCTCGTTTTTACGTGCCATATACAGTTTGTAACGTAGGGGTTTCTATATTTATGTCTTTATTTAGTGGTTACATTAATGACAAAGGCTAAACTTTTAGCTTCCTTAACGCGTACGCCTTATGGCATACATGTTTGTTTTGGGTTTTGCCTGTTCACATATATCCCCTTTTTATAAAATGACATAGTTGAAAACTGTTCCAGAGCCACTGTTGTTTCATCAGTGAAAAGTACACAATGAAATGCCTCTCCCTGTTCAATCCATTGGAAAAAAGAAAAGGAGCAAAAAGCATATGATGGTCATTAACGATATTAATTTAGGAACAGCATCAGAGATATGTTTTTAACTGCACTGCATTGGAGAGAATACCATAGCGCGTTTTTTTTTTACTCCCTGGCCGAAACGGGCTTCCATAAAAATCAGTATAGCTTCTGGGAAATACATTTTTCCTGAATTAAAGTTGAACTTGTTCAAAGCGCCCTACATTACAAACTCCAAGCGTTTCATTTTGAGCTGAAAACCCTCACACCTGAAGAAGAATTCATAGCCAAAACGTTGCAGGCTGACGTGGCTACCCACCAAAGTAAATGTACTGCAGTAAATGTTTATATCATTATATCTAATTTTTATTTAAAAATTAAAAAAATCGTTTGCCCAGCCTGGGGGGGGGGGGGATCTGTTCTCATTGACAGCTGACACTCCTCCATACACTCAAGTGAAAAATTAATAACGCCAATGTAAATGTTGTATTTACAATTTGTTGCTAATAAAAATGTTATGTTCTCTAAAGCTTTCACAGTCAAGTATGATAATTTACTGTGGGAGCTGTATAAGCATGTACCGTGCATTTTGAATGGCTGCATCTGTATATATGGTACCCATATTTAAATGTCAAAAGTATCACTAAATTATGTTTAAAGATTTAGTTAGAGAGGTAAAAACCATGTTTGCAGAGATTGTACGCAGAAAATGTGAAAAATGTAGAAAACAGTAGAAACTGTGAAAGAACAATATTAAGTCTTCTCATAGTCTGAACAAGATTTAAAAAGTTTCATCTGATCCGAGTGAAATCTTTTTATCTCTAAATGGCTTGGTACTTTTCTACATTAAATGCCATCAGACAGTCCTTGATTTCTGTCTATATCTGTTCGGGTTTCCTTTGCAGGGCTTGAATTCATTTATTTTATTAAAGCACAGCACAAAAATATATACAAGCTTTTCCCCGAATATTGACTAAGGAAAAGCTGCAGGATTTCAGAGAAATGCAAATGCTTGAAAAAGCTTTTTCTTCTCAACAGATCCAATCAAACTGCCTGTTCAATACACTCTACAGCAGTCGCTTTGTGTCCTCATACAAAGTCTATTTCACCATCATGTCAAGCACAAATTTTTATAACTCCAAATTTAAAATAATTTCTTCCAGTACAGTATAACTTACCTGAACAACAACAGATATGACTGTAGGCAAGTCAAAAAGAGGAAGACGTAAAATGTTAAAAAGGGTGATAGATGTGAACACTCTGGATGCTGTTAAAACATTATCATCATCAACTAAGAGAAAGACACCAAAGGTTGCCAAGGAGACCTGTGGAGAATAATTACAGTATCTAGTGTTAATGTACCACTTTGATAATACCATATCATTTATCACAAAGGACAAAACACATCACAAGTGATTTGGCTACAAAATCTCAACTCTATTTTGGAGAGGAACAGACATAAAAATAACTCATTCTAATTTTGAATAGGTGTTTCTAATATTCTATGTAAGCATAATATGTGTATTGCGTCTGCATTTCCCCCAGTGATGAAATGATCACAATATGAGGTAGTCAAAACTGCAACAGACAAATTCATCTACTGCATCTAAGCTGTTTGCAAACCAGCACATAACTGTATGTTTCACATACTTCAATGTATTAATTAAAAAAAAAGATTTAGAAACTAAAGTAATTTGCAATCTAAGAATAAGAAATCAATTAACCCAAACATAAGTTATTAAAATACTTAAATCATCAAGATGAAACAAAGGAACTGACTGTGTGGTGCTGTGTGTAGTGTAGGAATAGCCATGCAGGGCTCTCACATCAACCAGTGTGATCTCTCGGATGACTGTAGGCATTTGCCCTTCCTTCAATCTAGAGTGACCTCCCAGTATCAGGCTGTGCGTGACATGTGACAAGATGTCACTTAAAGGTTGGTGAGTAAGAGAACTCTGTGGATGGTTGTGGGGTTAGTAGCTGAGTGCTGATACATAAGAAACATTCCAGTGACTATTCCACTTTGTATTTAAAAATGTACTTTTTTAAGATGGGGTTTAACTTTCCCTTTCTGGCTACCTCAGAAGAAATCAGCAGGCATTTTGCGTTTTATAATTATGTATGTCATTTCACAAGGTCAAACACAGTGGGAAAAGAGGCTGGCTCTACGTGCTTCCTACCAGAAAAGGCACACATGTCAGGGTCAGCATGGAAAATGCAGTCAGATACCCAGATGACCGCAGCACTTCAATCTCGCCTTCCCGAATTTCCCCTACTTTCTCCTGAAAGAAGGGCTCCCAGGAATAGAGCTTCAGGATCTGATTTGGATAAAGAGCAGCTTTTACCTCTATGTAAAATGATTTTACAATAAAGTATTTACCATTTTGTGTTTCTGGTTGAAACATTACATTTAAGTAATATGGTAGAAAAAGAATAAGTATGGCTTCTTTAAAAGAGCTACAGTATAAGAGGTTGCTAGTACCAATAACCTACTTTGGAAATTTCAGCTAAGGTATCCTATATTAATTGTAATACTTTTTTCATTTATAAACCAGGAGTTTTCAAAGTGCTTAAATAAAGTTAAGAATGAACCAATGCAAACATGATCAAAACATTTTCTTAAAATTCTACAATAAAAGAAACAGTAATTAAAAAATATATATACAGTACTCATAATACTTAAAATGTTTTAAATAATCTGACCAAAAGGTAACACGCTAAAAGTAAATACTAATGAATAAAAGACAGAAGCCGAATAGGGCACCACAGGTTATATCTTATTAACAGACACCCCTTAGGAAATAAAGATCTATCTACATAATATGACAGATATGAGCTACACTACATGTGTATATTTTGTCAAAGAACCATTTTCAAGGCATTCTTTTAAAATGTAATGCTCTACTATTTCAAATACAGCCCAAGGTCCAATAAAACAAGGTAGGAAACATAATTTTAATCTGCATTTACCAGTAATTTAATACTCTTTGCAAGGCTTCTTTACTTTGATTGAATCAAAACCCTAACTGGACTTTTTCTAAGGATGTTTTCCACTAAGAACTGAGGAATGTCTTTCTCATGACCCTTGGTGAGAAACAGTAGATTTCAAATAGGTATAGAATAGACTACAATTCACCTATGCAAGCTAGGTTGCTAACAGCTTCCAGTCCTGTGTATGCTTTCACCTTTTTACACATGCTGGCCCAGTCTAGTCTTTTCACCTTTTCTACTGTAGTTATCTGATTCTATTTGTGGGTCTTGGAGTAGGTAAACTCAGAGAAGGTACCCCTGATAGTGAAAGGGATTTTAGATGATGGTGGATTTATTTACTGCAGCTGTTTAAAAGAAAGCTCAACTGCCTTTCACCCTCCAGGCTTCAACCGAAGAGATTAAGATCCAGAAGAACCATCTTCAAATCCACAAATTCTACAGTGGATTATGCTTTGTTGTTTTATTGTTTCCTTTTTTAAAATAAAATGAATAAAAATTATTCACAAAAAGAGATGTATTTGGTCAGATAGACATATCCGACTATATATATATTTGTTTTCAAAACTAAACTATTTTTAATCATTTCTAAATAAATCACAAATGCAAGAGATATCTAATACATATAGTTGCAAGAAAAAAATTGTGAACCCTATGGAATTACCTGGATTTCTGCATTAATTACTCCTAAAAATGTGGACTAATCTTCAACAAAGACACAATAATAGACAAACACAATCTGCTTAAACTAATAACACAAACAATTGTACTTCTTCTTGTCAATACTGAACACATCATTTAAACATTCACAGTCTAGTTTGGGAAAAGTATGTGAACCCTTGTACATAGTAAGTGGTAGAACCTCCTTTAGCAGCAATAACCTCCACCAAACGTTTTCTGTAGCTGCTGATGAGACTTGCAGAAAGGTTAGGAGGAATTGTAGGCCCTTCTTGCAACATTGCTTGCAACTGTATCCTCTAAACACTACACTGTGTAACGTGGTATGTGAATTGGCTGGCCAAAATGACCGACAGGGGAACTCATGGTTCATTGGTTGCTAGTGAAACGATTTAATCATTTAATCTCTTTACTGTGCATGTTTTAATCCACTTAATATTGAATATTAATATTTTACAACTAAATTTTAGCAGCTGAGCATAAAAAAAGAAGAGGAGCATAACGCGTCCGAAGGTCATAAACAATATTAATTAAGGAACATAAACATATTATGTAAACTACTTTCTTTGTAAACACGTTTTATTTTTAATTTGACTCATTCATGCATGAGGAATTGTGAGAGAGTGATAAATGGAGATAAGATAGAGGTTTCTTGTCAAAACTACATTCCCCAGAATGCAGTGGAAAATTGGCGTTTTACTCCACATATATTTAGATCCTTAAATTAATATATTTATTAATTTCTTTAGATACGTGATTCCATATTATATTCGCTAATAATTAAATTCTGAAAAGTATGAGTTTCTTTAACTGCCAGAATGAGCACAAGTATTCATGGACAATGGTAATCACTTAACTCACTTAAGTTTGAACATTTTGTGATATTTAGAAATACCAACAAATTCAATATAGTGTTGATAATATTTATTATAAGTAATAACGACAGTAGCAGCAGCTTATATAGTGTCCATAATATTTGCTATTTAAGTGTTTCAAAGAAATGTTTATTTGTTAAAAGAAAACTCATGGCGACAGCTGGGCTTTAACTGCCGACCTCAGGCATATAAAGCACATGCTTAAGCCATCATGCCACAGACGTAATCACGTGGAAAGTGAAACTGAAGCAGACATATCCAAAGAAAATGTACTACTGTGTTAATTTGAGCTACAGTACATGAAACCTGAAGAAGGTTCCACGGCCGAAACGTTGTGTTCTCTTTCTTCTTTTTTTCAGCATGGAATAAACCTATAACTTGTTCCTTTGCAGCCTATGCATGCTGACGCAGCTACCCACCTGAACTACAGTACATTAATATAATTATATCATTATTCATTTCTTTAGATACGCGATTCCATATTAAATTCCCTATTAATCAAATTCTAAAAGTATGCTTTTGTTTACTGCGATAATGAGCGCAAATATTTAAAGAAAAGGTTTAAACATTATAACTTTTTATGAAGTATATAAACTTAATATAGTCAGAAGGAGCACGTAAAACCTTTTCCAAAATAACCACAGTATGTAACCGAATGAAAGACTTCAATGCTTAAAATGTTTAAGGAAGAAAGTGGAATACTTTGTGTGTATTTTTTATTTAAACTACCAATACCACCCATATACAGTTTACATATTCAATACTAAGCGGATTAAAACATGCACAGTAAAGAGATTAAATTATTACATTTTTTTACTAACGACCAATGCACCAGGAGTGCCCCTGTTGTTGGTCAGCCAATCACATACTGGGGTACAACGCAGTTACCTGTAGGTAATTGTGGGTGGTATGGGTTTGTACCATGCATTTTGAATGGCTGCATCTGTACATGTAAGACCTGTTCCAGTGAGTTTAAGATAATGACCCATTTCAAGTCCCAAGGAAGCGAACAGTACCTTAATTCCATGCAGGATTTCATTCAGCAACTTCACCCGCTGATCCTTGGTTTTCATCTGGGTTTTCTGCCGTTAAGAAAAAAGATAAAAGTTAAGAAAACACAGATAAATACTGCATACAGAAGGGATACACAATAATTCACGTGACATTTTATATCTTGGGGGATATACAACACAATTAGCAATTATAACAATATAGAAATGAATAAAACAATAATCTATGTATTTAGTTAATTAGCCAATGTTTCTTGTTTAGATAAGTGAAAACAAAATGGTCAAGATGCTTTTACAACATTCCCAAAGTTTAAATATCAAATAATTGATCTTTTGTCTGGGATGTCTCAAATACCCACAACTCTGTGTACAGAAGAGCTTCCTATTCTGTGTTATAAATAAATTTATTTTAGCTCGTCCTCTTTTCAAAGATACCCTCTTTCACAGAGTGTGAAAGTGTACCATGGAATAATCCTAAATTAAGAGTTTGTATAGTTTAATCAAATCTTCTCCCTTTCTAATGTCCCTAGAATGAAGAGATTTTACTCCTCTAACCACAATGACTTAATGTACAGAAGAATCTAGATAAATACATAGATCCTTTCATGTGTACCTACCCATAACTCAAATCTTGGATGAGTAAAGACCATTTTTAATAATTTCTGCCAAAGTGGATCACGTAACACTTAACATGATTAAATTTCAATTTCACTGAATGATCTTGTCCAAGTCTTGTAATTCCTATGCCAATGTTTTTGTTTGCCACTCTCCCTATTTTGCATTGTATTTACCTTTAACTTAAATATTAGAATATAAACCTAAAAATAACCCTCACAGCACACAATTTAAAATTCAGAGATTAGAGATCTTAGTCCCCAAAAGATTTTCAGTTCCTCTTCTCATGCATAAAAACTCTTCAGCCCTCTATTACACTGAAAGAGCTGGAATAGACAAATTCCTAAATTCTCAGTTTCTCTTCCTAGTCAATTTAACCTCTTCTTTCATTCCCTGGAACCCCTGCCAAACTCAAACAAGCTCATGCTTCCATAGCCTTCCCATCATTGGAATATGCATGTTCCCTGTCTCTTCCGAGACTTACTGGCATGCCCCCTGGTACCAAGTTTCCAACTGTAAACAAGAAACTAGAACACTATGAATACTATGGTGAATTCAAATTAAGCTAGGAATACTAAATCACTAAAACTACTAAATTCTCACTGGATCCATCCATCTCTACATAATCCAATGCCTAAAAAAATCCTTGCAAGTCTTAGCTCTTTCCAACTTCTCAAACATGGTTTTAGGACGGCCAGTTGGCTACTGATGTTAAAGTACAGGAGTTGTACTGTATATACACTTCTGTGCTATCTAAACTCCTTACAATTCAGGAATCAATTTTATTTTATTGATACAGAGACAAAATTCTATACACAATCAAAAATAATAAAAAAACTAAAAATAAAGAATTTCGACAATCCACACTCATTGTACAAGACAGGATGCTTCACAAAATCAAAGCTGCCTCCAAGCTGACCTGCTGAAACATAATTTCTCGACCCATCACAAACTAACCTTAATATACTTGGGCCATAATGCCAACCTCCAAAACCTCTCAGTCTCTCTCTCCCCAAACTTCCACCAGTGGATCAGGATGTAAACCCTCAAAGAGTACAAAGCCGTCCGCAACAATGTTAAAGGTGAGTTTTTATCTGTTCTTTAAGTCAGCATGCTTCTGCCTTCCCAAAGGCAACAAATGACCCACCAGGCGATGCTTTCTTCTATTTTTGTTAACTTCTTCAGTCCATGTCCATAGAGTACTTGAATTGGACACCTGTGTTCCCTGCCAATTTCCTTGCCTCTTGCTATCAACTCATCCAGTGCCTCGTTTTTCAAATTCCATTTGTCCAGAAAGTTCTTTATAATGATACAAGATCACTTTATTGGTCATATACAATTTCTTGTATTAGGAATTTGTCTTTTCGCATACCCTAACTTGCTCTCCATGAGACACACAGACAGGGAGAGAAGCTTGGGGTCAAAGCGCAGGGTTAGCCATTCATATGGCACCCCTAAAGCAGCTGGGGTTAAGGGCCCAATGGAGTAGGATTCCTCTGCTGGCCGCGGTATACGAACCAGCAACCTTCCAGCCACAGGCGCAGATCCTTAGCCACAGAGCCACTGCACTGCCCCATATATGGATATATGCAAGGTTAAAATCAAGTAATGTTAAAGGAATCTCTAAACTTTTTTAAATCTTCAAATACAAACTATACAAAAAACAAGACAAAGGATACCTTCGCCCCGTTTCCAACAGCTACACACAGAATGTACTGACAAATACTTTTGCATAAGGAAAGTTAACAACTCAGGCATCTCTTTCCCACCTATTTTGACCCTCTTCGCTAAAATCTTCCTCCTAACCCTTACCCATTTTGGCCACAAAAAAAACGTCTTTTACAACTTTTGTTACATGTCCTACAAAGCTCTTTAATTGCAAGGTTTCCAGAATCTTTACATTAATCTATACACATTTTAAACAGTTATTACTTATCACCAAATTATTGCACTTGACATGACTTAATTCACCCTTTTCTCAACTTCTACGGCAAGCAGAGCTATTGCTGTCTCTGGTGCGATCTTCTGCAGCTGACATTTCAATGTTTAAATGGATATGAAATTAGATTGTTCAATAGTTGTAGCTAGGATTCACTTTTTTCTGTCTGTGTCTCTCCCCACACTTTCTCGACCACTGTGATTTAGCCAGTTTCAGAATAGTTAAAGACGCCAACAAGTCAGGCTGCCAGAGGGAAGGGGGAGTCGTCTTCCCACCTCTATATGTAAAAAGCCATATAATATCTTAAGCAACATACAGTAGTATGTAGTTGACAGATTGAGGTAGCCTATCATTTAATTTTCACTTCGTTGCTGATAGGTTTAGCTTTTGAAACCCAGCCCCAAAGTCATGTGACTGATTTTTCACTCTGTTTTGTTGGTTTAACTCAATGATCACAAGCACCACCATGTTAACTGGGATGTGTAGTTTTTTAGTTCAGTTTTAATTTTAAATGTATGTACTGAGTATTATATATGTGTGTATTTTTTAAGCAAGTATTTTTTAAGCAAAGTGAAGAAGGTAGGGGAGGGAGAAAAATGTAAAAGATTCTTAAAGAAAATTGTAGCGGGTAGGGAGCTAATGTAAGGTTTGAAGGGACAGGTGATTTGAAGACTTATGCAGAAAACATGCTGACCGTAACGGAGGATTTTTATGGAGAATTTTATGGAGAAACAGGTTTCAAATGTGCTGCTGAAAAAAAAAAAATGTGAATGTGATTCTGAAGAATGTAGGGGTAACTATTCAGTTTTGTCAAGAGATTAAAAGAAGGTTTGAAGACTCTCAAAACAGGCAAGACTCCGGGACTGGATGGTATATCTATTGAGATTTATAGGACTTTTTAGAATATTTTACCAGATTTCAGTTTCAGAACAGGTGTTGTGGTTTTATTATTAAAAAAAAGAATGATCAAATGGACATGACTAACTGGAGACTCATAAGTCTCTTGAATTGTGTGTTTTTTTCGTGTCTAATGCTTGATTGAAAGCTGTCTTGGGGAGGTCACTCATCTAGATCAAACTTGTGAAGAGAAAGATCACAGTGTGACACTAATCAGAAATACCAGATACCATGAGAGATATGAATATTAGGTTACCTGTTCTAAATTTGGATTTTGAGAAAGTTTATGATTATGTTTCACATAAGTACATGTTTATAGTGCTTCAAAAGATGGTGCTTTCGTCCAGGTTTCTTCCTTGAGTAAGGTTATTATAAAAAGGCTATAGAGAACAGAATAATGGTTAATGGACTTTTGTCAAAGGCAGTAAATATGAACTGTGCAGTTTGTCAAGTCAGTTCAAGTGGTACACACCTTAAGAATGGAGGCCAGGATTAATGGGATAAAGGTTCCTGGGAGCAGGGCCTTAGAGGTGAGAACTGTACTGTATATTAGGGATTAACAAAACCTTGGATGCAACATATCAGTTCTGCTGAGCTACAGATGTAGCCATTCAAAATGTGCGGCAAAACCCCATAACCAAGCAAATCTGCGGACTACCGATTGGCTGACCAAAAGGACTGACAGGTGGCACTTGTAGTGCATTAGTTGTTGATGAAACGATTGCTTCATTTAATCTCTTTACTGTGCATGTTTTAATCCACCAAATATGGAATATAAATATGGAATTGTACAACTAAAGGGAAACTTTGGTAGCTGGGCATAAAAATAAGAGGGGCATAACGTCTCTGAATGTCATAAACTATATTAATTTAGGAAAAATAAATATATTATACAAACTGTATATGGCTGGTAGTGTAGTTTAAGAAATACAGTATACAGTATATATAAAGTATTCCACTTTTTTCATAAAAATGTTATGCATCAAAGTCTTTCACTCGGTCACTTACTGTGATTATTTTGGAAAACCCTTGACATATTTAGTCAGACTACAGATGCAGCCATTCAAAACAAGTGAGGTACACCACGGTACCATGCGGTGGGCGTGTCGCATCCTAACACAGTATGATGCACTGTAACGCGTCATATGACGTGTAGCGGCAATGCTTGTTAATAAGACAGAATTAAGTGTTGCTGTGCTTTCCCAAATGAGTCCTCAGCTCTCTGTTCATCTCTGCGGTGCAGCCACAGAGAAACTATTCATGCAGGCTGATTTAAAGATGTTTTCTTTTGTTCTAAATTTGAGAATGTCCTGCCCTTGGGAGCCTTCTGCTCCTGGGCCGTCCTGCCCTGGAATTCTCCTTTGAATTCTCTTTAGAAAAGTCCACAGAATAGTCTCTCAGGCCCTCTGTGTTGCCTGTTTTTACCTGGAGGAACTTCAGCTCGTTCACGCTGAAAGTTCCATGGGCATCAGAGTCCCATGTGGGTTACTCAGCCCTACCAGTCCCTGATTGGTTGATCAAGGTGAGATATGAGTCACTTACTCCTGACACCTAGGAATGCAGTCCAGATGTCCATCTGGCACTCCCTACACAGACAGGCGCCAATGGATGACCATTGATCATGATAGCCAGGCTTAGCTAAGTGCATCCCAATTTGGGAGCTGTCCCTTATCAAAAGAAAACATCTTTAAATCAGCCTGCATGAATAGCTTCTCTGTGGCTGCACCACAGAGATGAAGAGAGAGATGGGGCCTCTTTTGGGAAAGAACAGCAACACTCAATTCTGTCTTATTAACAAGCATTGCCGCTACAACAGTATATAAACTTTATAATGTTAGAACAAGCACATTAAAAATGTCTTAAATACCCACTATAATTTACCAAGTTAAAGACTTTGATGCATAAAATATGAAGAAGAGGGAATGCTGCTGTGTACTTTTTAATATTAGCTACCATATAGCTACCACTACCATATATTACATTTTACTTGTTTTAATTTTTCACTACCTAAATTTATCTTTAGATTTTCTCAATGCGGATGTAAACCTGAAAGGCACATCTCGTTCAAAACAACCTACAGTATAATAATAAACTCTTATTATATATCCAACTGAGCAATTTTGTTTTTATTATGGTGGCGGGAAGACGCCCCCCCGTCCCACTTCTCTCTGGGTGCCTGATTTGTCGCCGTTTTAACCGTTCCGTGTCCGAATCTCAGTAGCTACGCGAACAAAATAAAGTTCATCCCAGCTACAATACATATATATTTTTGTGGTAAGAAGGAGCAAAATATCAGTATTTACTGCTATTAATTAGTGTACGATTTATAGTTGAAATCTGAGCCTGAATATAAAGTTAAAATCTCGACAAAGCAATGTAGGAAATACAGAGACAATAAATCCTTTCTGACATCTAAAATCAGTTTCGATCAAGGTCTCTAAAACGAATAAGAAATAGAGGATTTTCGGAGGGCAATTACGCTGTGTTTATATACTGTAGAATAAGTGATTTATGAGCAATCTAATTTCTTGTTGGTTTAAAACAGTGAAATGTCAGCTGCAAAAGATTGCACCAGAAACAGTACTCTCTCTGCCTGTCATAGACATTCAGGAAAGGGTGAATGAAGTCATGTCAAGTACAATAATTCGGTGATCAATAATAACAGTTGTAGGACAAGAAACAAAAGATAGTGAAAACTTAAGCTTTTTAAGGCTAAAACTAAAATTCATTCTACAAATTAAGGCAAATGAAAATTTAGGACGTTAAAGTGCTAGAGGTGTAAAAAATACAAAAATGCACATGAGCAAAACGTTTTAGAAACGGAGCAGCTGTTGCTTTGAAATAAGCAAACAGAAAAAAAAGCCATGACTATAGTGCAGAGGGATGCAGGAACACACAAAAAAATCACAAAAAGGTGTATGTTACAAAAGAACATGCAAACATGTTCATCAAGTACATGAAGAAGAGAATTTTCAGAATAATTGCAAATCTAGCAGGATAGAGAAAGCACAGAAAATAGGCAGTTAGATTGATCAGATTAGTATGAAAAGTCATTTAGCAAAGAGGGAATGAGAAGAGTGACACACTAGTATACTTTAGATCTTTTTTCTGAACCACGGAAAATCTGATCATGTTTCTCTATAACAAAAATAAAAAAACTTTATTTTATATATCACCTTTAAAAGTGGCATCTCAAAGCAATACAGTAGATGTAAAAACAGATAAAAGGACCACAGATTACAAAGTAAAAACATATAAGAAAGAAAAGCAGTTAGAGGTGCTACCAAAATTAGAAAATGAAGCAGATACAGACACTAAGTCTTCTGAAAAGAAAGGTTTTGAGGTTAGATTTAAATGTACTCAGGGTACGTGACTGATATCACTGGGGATAAAAAAATTGAGAGCTCTGGAGTGTAGCTAGAGAAGGTCCTGTCACCCACAGAATGTAGATGTTCTTGAGGACAGCTAGAAGACCAGAGTCAGACAGACAAAGGTGGGGAGTAGACAGATAATAAGCCATATACTGTAGGCACTGAATGAGGATAAGGATTTTGAAGTTGACTCAAAAACTGATAGGTAACCAGTGCAAGGACTTGAAAACAGGTGTAATGCATCCCTGATAGGATTCTAGCTGTAATACTCTGAACATATTGAAGATTGCTCAGTGTGGATTTAATTTCCCCAGTGAACAGGATGATTTCTTAGTTTCTGTAGTTTTTTATAGTTGCACGCAACTATAAAAAACTTTGTAATTGTAATTGTTTCTTATTTTTTATTTTCTTTAAAAAATTAAAAGGAATCAGTAAAGATCAGTAAAGAAGTTAGAAATTATTATTTATAAATAATAACTTAATATTGTTAATAATAATCAGAAATGTTATTATAGTTCAGTTTCAGTGGTCTTTTTAATAAAACTAGTATTCTAGATTATAATTATAATTAATATAACTTAGCTGCGATTTTGGGTTACAATTTTTTGCAAAGCCGCCTTCTTCTAAACTCCCCCACTGGGATTCACATATTCATATTTGAACAAGTAATTGGTTTATTGCATGCTTTAAAGAGAATAAACCTATTACTTGTTCCTTTGCAGCCTAAGCATGCTGACACAGATACCCACCTGAACAGTATTTACATCTGCCCATTCATGTTTTTAATAACTTCATTTAACATTTAACACGTCGTGATATTTAAAAATAATAAAAACTTTTTAAAAAGGAGTCTTTATTTGGAGAAAAACATGTGCCCTAAACAGGAATCAAACAGACTTCCGGAGGGAGAAGCATCAACCAAACTCACTGTACCAACGCGCCATTTGGAAACATAGCTGAAATGGACAGGTCAAAATGTTTCCAAAGTAATCACAAGTGAATGAGTCAAAGAAATTGATGCAGATTTTTACATAGAAAGTGGGATATGCTAATACTTTGAACTATATAATATAAATTTAGATCCTTAAATTAATATTGTCATTAATTTCTTTAGACACGTGATTCCATACTATATTCCCTATTAAGCAGATTCTAAAAAGTATACGTTTTTATAATGACAGCAAGTATTCAGAAAAGGTTAAAAAATCATAGCTTTTTATAAAGTAAATAAACTTAATATAATATAGTCGGAATGAGCATGTCAAAACTTTTCCAAAATAATCACGAGTTAAAGACTTTGATGCTTTTTTGATGTATTTTAGCTACCACTACCAGCCATATACAATAGGTATATTCCTAAAGTATACTGTTCATGACGTTCAGAAACATTATGCTCCTGTTATTTTTATGCTCAGCTACCACTTAAGTTGTAAAATTCCATATTTATTCCATATTAAGCAGATTTAAACATACACAGTGGAGAGATTAAATGAAGAAATTGTTTCATTAACATCTAATGCCACCTATGGATCATCTTTGGCCAGTGAATCACATGCGTCACAGGGTTTTAATGCATATTCTGGATGGCTACACCTGTAAATGAACAAGTAAAGTTTTATGCCATACTGAAAAGAGAAGAAAAGAAACAACTTTTCGGCTGTGGAGCTATCTCTGATTGTGATTGGATTATGAATAATTATTTGTTTAACGCAATGTGCCTGAATTATTACTATTTTCACATAAGCCATGCCAGAAAACAAAGAATTTTTGTTTCTCTTTAATTATACCAACGGTTCAGGTGTATGTTCAAGGCAGAAATTATTTACAAGTAGAGAATCGTGATTATTTTATTATTCATTCATCAGCTCAGCCATTTTCTTATATCGCTGTTTTTGTAACCTCTTATTTGTATATGACGTACGACCATGTAACTGTTCCCATCTCTGCACATGTAAACTCTGCTTCATTTTTTTCATAGCCAGCTTTTCCAAAAATTAAATGAAACTCCTAATTTCAAACTTAAGGCTGAGAAATTTAAAGTATACAGTTCCACAGGGTATTTGTGATAAAGGATGTTTAAAAACATGTTTATTAATTTGCTCCAAGACGGACCTTTAGGTGTTTGACCCTGGACGCTACCACAGCATTCAGCGGGATGACAAGCAGCAGCACAGCCACACCGGCGAGAACCGATGGGCCAAGCTCCTGCCACAGGAAGTAGACCGCCAGCAGCACCTGAAAGGGGCCTGACCACAACAGGTTGAGGTTCTGTGCCAGGTCCATGAACTGCTGGGCATCCATTGACATAAAGTTCACCACTTCACCCACTGTGAACCGGCGTCGAGAGACATTTGCCAGATTTAAAGCCTTAAAACGAAAAAAGATAACTCTGTCACCTTCAAATACCAAATGCTTTCCCATATGTTTATAGACATATCAAGCTAATGAAGACTAAATATTTTCAGTAGGCAAAACTATTCAGGTGGTTTGGATTTTTTTCTTTTTTGTGACCTCAGTCAAATAAAACACTTACAAACAATGAAACTATAAAACTGAGAAGACTGTTTTAGTCTCCCTTTGTCTTTACCTTCCTGTACACTATCCCAGTCACTGCTGCCTTTATCTTGGCTGCAGTCAGCATATTGTTGCGGTGATACACCTGCAGGATAACAGTGTGAGAAGCAGTTGCTGCAAAAAGCATGACTGCATAGGTAGGTCCATTCCAGTCGAACAGTGGCTGGTTTTCACAGAAGGCAATTATAAGCCTGGAGATGTAAAACAAAAATGAGGAAAATGTAAAAGGTTGGAATCCAGAATTAACACCATATCCCTTGTTTCAGTTCCACAACCTATTACCTTAACAGGTCTCCAATTCTGTTCCTAAATGGCAAATGTATCCATGGGTTTTCAGTCTAGCTGGGCACATAATAACCTGCATTATTCTATTATTGGGGTTTAAAGAGACCTAGGAAACCTGCACAGGGAAAGTTTGGACTGGGACCCTTGATCTAGACACAGGTTTCCATGTAACTTTTGTATTTAACTTACATGTATCCAAAAACCAGCCATCAAGTTCATTCAGGAATTTTCCATAGGATAATATTTTTTTAAATACACAATTAATTTGCTTTATATGTCCCTAAACAAATTAAAATGACTACCTAAAAAGCTAAATCTGTGATAGATTAATACAAACATTTCCATTGTTTGTCTACAGATCATTCGTGAGCAACCCATTATTTAACATGAATACTGTACAATCGTTTTTTCTGTCCCTTATTCCAGTTTCACAGAAAGAGAATGTGTGCATGTAACTCTTGATTTTTTTCAGATATTAGATGAATCATAAATGTGCATTTTTCTTATTAAATCCATACATGTTATTTAACAAATAAATATAACCTTGATCTGTTTTTCCTCATCATACTGACATTGTTTTTTATTGTTTGTGACTAACATAAATACAAGGACTCCCAGTTGGGTGAGTTTATACAGGCTGGTCAGCATGTTACCACGATCCCCTTCAATAACAAAGAGAATAGGTCAGGACTTACCGCAGTATCTGAGGACTTAAGAACACCAATACATCAGCAAGCACTTTCAGGAGAGCAATGGAAATGAGAGGAGTCCGAAATGTTTGCCAGAGAGCCCGCAGCAACGACAGCCTGCTGGGGACCTTGCCCTTGAGATTTTCCTCCTCTTCTTCACCAATCTGCCAAAGACCAGATTTCGAAAAGAAAACTGTACCTTTTAACATTCAATGCAAAATACTGAACGTTTTTTTAATAATGAAAGAAACATAATTATAAATAGGAAAAGAAAGATGGATTTTACCTTTTGTTCTATTTTTCCACCACCACTTCCCCCAGTTTGGTGGACACCTTTGTTACTTTTTGTTGTTGTGACTCTTTCTCATATACTTTTTTTCATAATTTTTTCATAATTCTTATAATCATTCACATGTTCTATTATTTTTCTCTCTCCTCTTCATTTATTTTCATTATTTGGTCAGCTAATTAGTGTGAACACAGTTAATTGTGTACGGCTCTAAATGGATAACTGGCATTATGCCAGACTATCCCAGTCAATCCCACCTGACATCAGAGCAAGATCAGCGATCCAGTAAGATGCACAACTGTCAAAATACCTGCCTGCATTGAACAAGCTCTAAAACCTCTGTAAATTATACATTAAGAATGGTGCACAGAGACATTATTAAGAAATGGTTTGAGCCAGAAAGGGCTCCACAGCCAAAATGTTGTGGCAATATTTCTTAAAAGTACAACTAGCACATTGGCCAGGAAGAGAACCTGGGGTCTTTTATCTCATAGGCAATTACTTTTTTTTAACACGCTTTTCATTTTCCATTGCAACAACCACAACAGGAAATGAAGTTAAAACATTTCCAAATAGCAACAAGTGACCAAGTTAAATTAGATCCAGTTGTTTATGAAGAAAGTGGAATACCCTACCACAACCAGCTAAATATATTTATATTCATTAATCATTATTGTTAACAATGACTGACTTTCAGAAATATATTTTTATATTCAGGTGGGTAGCTGGGTCAGGATGTGTAGGCTGCAAAGGAACAAGTAATAGGTTTATTCCATGCTAAAAAGAAAAGAAAGAAAACTCAATGTTTCAGCCATGGAGCCTTCTTCAGGTGCTGAAGAAGACCAAGAGAAGGACCTGAAGACCTGAAGGACCGAAACGTTGTGTTTTCTTTCTTCTTTTTTCAGCATTGAATAAACCTATTACTTGTATTTTTATATTCAGCTATGTTCAAAATGTCCCTTCAGTCACATGATTCCATATTAATATTCCATATAATGCAGATTTAAAAAAATATAAGAAGCATTACATTTTTGTTGTAGGAAGCTCATGTTTTCACTAACATCTAACACACAACAGGTATCACCTATCAATCATCTTTGGCCACCTTTGGCTACTGTCATGCCCGACCAAGCGCCAGTGATCGGTCCCGCATAAAAACGTGGGACAGCACACCATTCTGCTGTTAAAACATACCCGGCTAGACTTGGACCTGGTTAGACCTAACCACACCGTGATTTCACATGCAGGTTTGAAAGACAGTAGGGTTTATAATTTCTTCTTTAAAATATTTCAGGTTTATTTTAAAATACACATTTTTTTTTTATTCATGGTATTTTTTTTGTGTTGTTAAAACATATTGTTAGACTATATACTCTGATGAAAATGTGTGATGTACTGTGATGTCACTCTCAGTATTTAGATCCAGACTGAAGACTTATTACTTCAGCCTAGCCTACTCACACCTTACATCATAGCCAACTGCAACCATGGCTGCTGCTGCTGCTGTCCATGTCATTGTGTGTCTCCATGTTGGCCCACCAGGTAGATACATCTGTTCTGACCAAACTATCCTGTTCTCCTTCCAAGAGGGACACTGTGGATATAGTTATCGTTTAGGACGATTTTGCTGATCTACAGAGATCTGCATGGAGTACTGACATACACAAGACATGATGGATGGAATAATACCCTTATTCATGTATTCCTTTTTTTAATTTTATAATGTTGGCATGGCGAAAGGGGTTTGGCAGCTAGTTGACCTTGGACCCCTAGAGGATTTTTTTCTCCTACTGAATTTTTTGGTTCCTCTCCTCCATTTCCCTCTGGTCTTTTCTGTTCTGTATTCACAATATGCATGGTCACTTGCATTAAGCGCCTTGGGCAACCTTGTTGTGAAAATAAATTGAATTGAATGAAAAAAAATCATAGGTACTCTAGGACTTTTTCCTCACAATCATAATTTTCATATCCTAATTGGAAATTCATAAACTCCTACAGTAGGTAGGACATTTTATACTACTTTTGTATAGGGCAGGCTTCATCAAACATATTGGTAAGTCAAAAAGTATTTTGCATACAAACACAATTGCTACTATTCCTAACAGCTGCTATATTGACCTTTTCAATTAAATACTATATATGAAGCACTTGTTCATTAAGTGGAAGAAAACCCAATCTTTCGGTGTGGCAGACCTTTTGGGATAACCATTTTGATGACATGTTTTCCACTAATATGTGGTGGATCCACTCTGTAAGTCTAATTAATAGATGTACAGTGCCTTCAGAAAGTATTCAGACCCCGCCACTTTTTCCACACTTTGTTGTGTTGTAGACTTATTTCAAAATTGATTTAATTATTTTTTGCCATCAATCAACACCCAATACCCAATAACAACAAAGTGAATACAAGTTTATAGAATTTGTCCAAATTGATTAAAAATAAAAAAATGAAATCTCCCACCCTTTATTGTGCACACCCTTTATTGTGACACTCCAAATTGAGCTCAAATGCATCCTTTTTCTTTTGATCATCTTTGAGATGTCTCTAGAACTTGATTGTAATCCACCTATGGCAAATTCACTTGATTGGACATGATTTAGAACAGCACACACCTGTCTTTATAAGGTCACACAGTTCATGGCAGAGTAAAAACCAAGCCATGAAGTCCAAGGAACTCTCCATAGACCTCCGAGATTGGATTGTGTCAATCTGGAAAAGGGTATAAAAAAATCGCAACAAATTGAAGGTTCTCAGGAGCACAGTGGCTTCCATCATTGTCAAATGGAAGAAGTTTGGAACCACCAAGACTCTTCCTAGAGCTGGCCACCTGGCGAAACTGGGCATTTGGGGGAAAAAGGGTCTTGGTCAGCGAGCTAACCAAGAACCCAATGGCCACACTAAAAGAGTCAGACATACAGTGTAAAGATGGGAGAACCTGCCAGAAGGACAACCAACTCTGCAGCGCTCCATCAATCAGGTCTCTATGGTAGAGTGGCTAGACAGAAGCCACGCCTGAGTAAAAGGCACATGACGGGCCACACGGAGTTTGACTCTGAGAGCATGAGGTAAAAGATCTTCTGGTCTGATGAGAGAAAAACTGAACTCCATATCTGGCAAAAACCAGGTACCACTCATCACCTGGCTAATACCATCCCTACGATGAAGCCTGGTGGTGGCAGCTTCATGTTGTGGGGATACTTCTCATTGGCAGGGACTGGGAAACTGGTCAGGATTGAGAGAAAGATGAACGTAGCCAAATACATAGAGGTCCTTGAAGAAAACCTGCTCCAGAGCACACACAACCTTGGACTAAGGCAAAGATTCACCTTTTAGTATGACAATGATCTAAAGCACACAGCCAAGACAACGCTGGAGTGGCTTCAGAACAAGTCTCTGAAAGGCCTTAAGTGACCCAGCCAAAGCCCAGACGAACCCCATACAAAAACTCTGGGGAAACCTGAAGATTGCAGTTTACCAACACTCCCCATGCAATCTGACAAATTGAGAGAATTCGCAGGGAAGAATGGGAGAAACTGCCCAAATCCAGGTGTGCAAAGCTGGTAGAAGCATACCCAAGAAGACTCACAGCTGTAATCACTGCTAAACGTGGTCCTACAAAGTACTGAATAAAGGGTCTGAATACTTATGAAATGGGAGATTTCACTTTTAAATTTTTATAAAAATAAGCAAAAGTTCATAAAAATGTGTTTTCACAATTATGTGTCAATTGATGGTAAAAAAGAATCAATTAATCAATTTTGAAATAAGTCTACAACATAAAGTTTGGAAAAAGTGAAGGGGGTCTAAATATTTCCTGAAGGCATTGTAGTTAGTCCAATTTGCTGCTACTTTTCCATGTTTATATATTGTATTGGCACTACATAACAGTGCAACATTTGTCTTTTAGTGCAGCTAGTATACTGCTTATTCTAAATATTTGAAATACTGTACATCACTCAAAAGAATGGGTTGCAATTTTAAATGTCTTTGTATTCTTTTTAAATAAACATTCGATTCAATTATAAACTCCTTAGAATACATCTTCATCTTTAAAAAATAACAATATAGCAATATAACAATAATAAGTATTATATTATGCTAGTAAAATATTGTTTTTAAGAAACTTGAAACAATGAGGTTATTGTTACGGCAGGGCTGGAAGTGGCCTGTGTCCCCAGGCAACTAGTGCATTACAGCTGCTCAAGAAGGCCACTAACTTTACAATCAGGCCGACCCTCCTGATGTAAATATGTAAATATTCTGTGAAATTATGTTATTTTACTATGCAAAAATGTAATATAATTTATCAATATAGTAAATTATGTATGTCATGATATCTAATTTTAATTTTGTAGATGTTCCTTTTGTAATCTATGTAGATTTTGGTGTTAACACAATGTATCATCTTTTTTTTTAATCTTGCAAATTATACGGTTATGTAGTGGTTTGATGGGTTTACTGAGACAATTATTAATTGTAGCAGTAATCACGAGGTTGTTGTTGGGGCTTTTAGAAAATCAATCGTCAGAACAACTAACAACGCACACACACGGGTTCAATACACGAGGTACATTTATTAATATAAACTGTGCACCAAACATATACTAGTCTGCCTGCATACGAGCGGCAGACCTTACTGTGAGGGTTATCAATATACAAGGTATATAATCTCGAAGAGATGCAAACACAAAGAGATACACAACAGAGAATATATGTCAATATATATCGTTCGGTTACCAAATTGCTAATCAGTGTTATTACCCACTGTTACTCTAAACTCGGAAGTAAATACGTTACTCATGAATTAAATTGATAACAACTTGTGTTGAGGTACAATTGAATTCTCGAGACGCAATGTAGAACATGGGGTTTAC